TTGGGGTCTTGGTCAATGTTCTTGAGGACCTTGGGGTCTTGACCAACGTCCTTGGGGGTGTTGAGGTCTTGGTCAAGGTCCTTGGGGGTGTTGGGGTCTTGGTCAACATCCTTGAAGACATTGGGGTCTTGGTCAATGTCCTTGGAGATGTTGGGGTCTTGACCAACGTTCTTGGGGGTGTTGGGGTGTTGGCCAACCTTCTTGAAGACACTGGGGTCTTGGCCAACCTCCTCAGTGATGTTGGGGTCTTGGTCAAGGTCCTTGGGGATGTTGGGGTCTTGGTCAATGTTCTTGAAGGCATTGGGGCCTTGGCCAACGTTCTTGGGGGTGCTGAGGCCTTGGTCAAGGTCCTTGAAGCCACTGGGGTCTTGGCCAACCTTCTTGAAGACATTGGGGCCTTGGCCAACGTTTTTGGGCATGTCGGGTTCTTGGCCAACGCCCTTGGGGACGTCGGGGTCTTGGCCAACGTTCATGAAGACACCAAGGTCTTGGCCAACCTTTTTGGGCACCGCTGGGTCTTGGCCGAGCTCCTCTTGGAGCTTTCCGGAGTTTCTGGGGTCCTCCTGGAGGTTCTTGGAGCTTTTGAGACCCCCTTGGAGCTTCTTGGGGCCTTTGGGATCCTGCTGGAGGCCCCTGGGGCTTTTAGGATCTTCTGGAAGGTTCCTGGCATCTTGAAGACTCTTCGGGCATCGTGGAACCTCCTGGAGGTTCTTGGGGCTTTTTGGTTCTTCCTGGAGGCTCCTGGGGCTCTTGGGATCTTCTTGGAGGCTCCTGGGATCTTCTTGGAGCTTCCTGGGGCTCTTGGGCTCCTCCTGGAGGCCCCTGGGGCTCTTGGGCTTCTTGTGGAGGCCCTTGGCCTCCTCACAGAGGCTCCTGGGCTTCTCCTGGAGACTCTCGGCTTCCTCTTGGAGGCCCCTGGGGCTCTTTAGCTCCTCATAGAGGCCCTTGGGGTCCTCACGGAGGCTCCTGGGGCTCTTGGGCTCCTCCTGGAGGCCCCTGGGGCTCTTGAGCTCCTTGTTGAGGCCCTTGGGCTCCTTGTTGAGGCCCTTCGGCTCCTCTTGGAGGCCCTTGGGGCCCTTTGGTTCCTTGTTGAGGCCCTTTGATTCCTCGTTGAGGCCCTTGGGCTCCTCTTGGAGGCCCTTGGGGCCCTTTGGCTCTTCGTTGAGGCCCTTTGTGAGGCCCTTGGGGCTCTTTGGCTCCTCTTGGAGGCCCTTGGGCTCCTTGTTGAGGTCTTTGGGCTCCTCGTTGAGGCCCTTCCCCTCCTCGTTGAGGCCCTTGGGCTCCTCCCAGAGGCCCTTGGGGCCCTTTGGCTCCTTGTTGAGTCCCTTGGGCTCCTCGTTGAGGCCCTTGGGTTCCTTGTGGAGGCCCTTGGGGCCCTTTGGCTCCTCGTTGAGGCCCTTTGGTTCC